CCCTCTGGACATCGATCTGCAGAAGGAGAGGCTACCCTGATGGTATTCCGGGGCTCCGGGTAGGCTGGTCCCAGTCAGGCCCTATTGCCGATCAACCGACCCACAGGAGTTTATTGGGAAAGCCTCTAGAGGTAAGAATCGAATGATTCTTAGTGCACTGTGGGTAGATAGGAGGAAGCTGGATGTGGCACAGATTCCTCTATCTAGAGTCTCTTCACAACAGCAAGCAGACTCACTGGGTTGGAGTCATCAGAGGGCGACTTCCTGGGTTGGGGTCCGTATCCATTTGGCCCCAGAGGTTTTACTTGGCCAAAGTTTGTCTTTGTCTGTTTATTGTTGTCTGCCTGCTTGCTCTGTGTGCCTTTTACATTTTCACAGGCTAAAATTATGGGTTCCTTACAGTCCACAGAAGGAACTCCACTTGATTGTGTTTTAAATAACTTCAAAAAATTTATTCCACAGACAGGGAAGATAAATATGGCATGAAATTTTCTAAAGGCAAATTACAAACCCTATGTCAATTAGAATGACCCAGTTTCAGAGTCAGTTGGCCCCCAGTGGGAACTTATTCTATGCACATTGCTCACAAGGTTTGGAATGTGGTCACGGGAGTCAGGGCCCCACGGCATCTGGATCAATTCCCATATATCAACATCTGGATCGATATGTTGGAAGATCCCCCTAAATATTTTATACAATGTACAGGTCCCGATCAACCTTTGGCAACCCTGAATTGGAGGAGAAGGGAAGCTCAAAACATACTGGAAAAGAGTCCCTCTCTGATGGTTGTGTCAACCAGTAAAGGTGTTCTCCAGTCTGACCCTGAGGATGATTTGCACCTACCTCCCCCTTATCACTTGGGTGGAATCAGCACCTGGGGTAGGGTCCCTGAATCTCCCACCGGAGGCCCCCCAGTTCCGGATTCCTCCTCAGACCAGATCCACTCACCTCCCCATACTCAATTGGGACAGGACTATGGTCCATCAGCCCCATCTTCTTACTCCCTTTTTCCTTTAAAACAGACAGAGCCCGGGGGAGGATTGATTTATGTCCCTTTTACAACTAGTGATCTTTACAATTGGAAACATCAAAATCCCCCCTTCTCTGAAAAACCTCAGGCATTAATCTCTCTTCTTGAGTCTGTTTTTTATACCCATCAGCCAACTTGGGATGATTGCCAGCAGCTTTTACAGATCCTGTTCATGACTGAGGAGCAGGACCACATTTATCAACAGGCAGTCAAAGAGGCCCTGGGGCCAAACCCCGGCATCACTCCTGGAACCCCGGGGTATTTGGCCAGGGCTGAGGCTGTGTTTCCATCATGGTGCCCCAAATGGGACCCCAATGATGATCATGGTAGGAGGAGGCTAGGGACCTATTGCCAGCACTTATTAGGAGGACTCCGGGCAGCTGCCCAAAAGCCCACTAATTTGAGTAAGGTAAGTGAGGTTCACCAGGCAAAAATGGAGTCTCCAGCTGTGTTTTTAGACAGACTCTTGGAAGCCTATAGAGTTTTCACTCCTGTTGACCCAGCAGCTCTCAAAAATGCAACAGCTTTAGATTTCACCTTTGTTTCCCAGTCAGCCCCAGACATTAAAAAGAAATTACAGAAATTGGAGGGATTTGAGAGAAAAAATAGAACTGAAGTCCTGAACATAGCTTAAAACGTTTATGATAACTGTGATGCCCCCGAGAAAGTCCTAGCCAAAAAACTGGGGAAAGTCACTATTGCTGCACTCCAGGAACAAGAGACAGTCCCTCCAGACAGAAAAGGAGGAAGCCACATTTTTGGCTTTAAAGCAAGTCTTGGTGTCAGCACTGGCCCTGGCCCTACCTGATGTCACCAAGCCCTTTAGGTTGTTTGTGGCTGAACGAGGGAGCATAGCCAAAGGAGTGCTAGCCCAGGCATTAGGGCCTTGGAACAGACCTATGGCCTGCTGTCTAAAAGACTTGATCTTGTGGCAAGTGGATGGCCTACCTGTTTGAGGGCAGTTGCAGCCACCACCCTCCTGGTCAAGGAGGCAGATAAGCTCAGCCTGGGCCAGGATCTGGTCATCACCACACCCCATGTGGTGGAGACATTGCTGAGAGGAGCCCCAGAATGATGGCTCTCCAACGTCCACCTGACTCAGTACCAGGCCCTGTTGCTGGATGAGCCACACATCAAATTCGCCTGAGAAATTGCCCTTAATCCAGCCACCTTACTCCTGGACTCTGACCCACACACACCCCTCCATGACTGTCTGGACACTCTGACAAGTTTTACCACCAATCGCCTAGACCTGACTGACATTCCCTTGCAACACCCAGATGAGACCTTCTTCACTGATGGTAGTAGTTTTGTGGAAGATGGAGTCAGGTATGCAGGGGCGGCCGTAGTCAGTCCAGAAGGACAAGTAAACTGGGCACAGGCATTAAGCCCGGGGGCATCGACACAGAGGGCTGAACTAATAGCCTTAACTCAAGCCCTAAGGTTAGGTCAAGACAAGGCTGTAAACATCTACACTGACAGCTGGTATACATCTACACTGACGGCTGGTATGCATTCACCACTGCCCATGTGCATGGTGACATCTACAGGCAGAGAGGGCTACTGACATCAAAAGGAAAAACTATCAAAAATGAAAAGGAAATTTTGGCCTTATTAGAGGCAATTTGGGAATCCAGGGCATTGGCCATTATTCATTGCAAAAGCCACCAAAAAGGAGACAGCTTCGAGGCCTGCAGTAACCGAGAGGCCGATGATGCAGCCTGATGAGTGGCCAGAGAACCAGTGGGGCCAATAGACATTCTGCCCATCCGGCCCTTTGGCTACCTGCCAGAAAGACCCACATATGCCCTGGAAGAGGAAGAGGAAAACCAAAAGTGAGTGGGTACAAAACTGGACTCAGGCTGGTGGAAAGGGACAAAAGAATGAATTTGTCTCCCCCGAGCCCTGGGGTAACAACTTGTTCATCAGTTACATCACTTAACTCACCTGGGAGAATCAAAGTTAAAAAGACTAATGAGCTCTAAGTTTTCAATCCCAGGACTGACCTCTATGGTCCAGGACATCAGTTCCAGGTGTCAGGTGTGTGCACAGGTAAACTCCAAGATGAGACCAAGGAGTGAAGATAATTGACTACAGGGAAGAGAGCCAGGGGAACATTGGGAACTTGATTTCACTGAAATAAAATCCAGCAATAGGTTCAAATATTTACTGGTATTGGCTGACACCTACTCAGGTTGGGTAGAAGCTTTCCCCACTCGTGGAGAATCAGCCAACATAGTGACTAAGGTTTTGCTCTAGGAGATAGTTCCCTGATTTGGCATCCCTCGTTACCTGGGTTCTGACAATGGGCCTGCCTTCACGGCACAGATATCCAAATTGTTGGCAAGGGCACTACATATCGATTGGAAGTTACACTGTGCCTATCGCCCACAAAGTTCAGGGCAAGTGGAAAGGATGGATAGGACCCTGAAAGAAACCCTGACTAAATATGTTCTAGAAACTGGTGGTAGGTGGCCTGATCTGCTTCCTCTAGCCTTGTTAAGAGTTAGATGTACCCCATATGTTGACAAGTTTAGCCCTTTTGAAATCTTGTATGGGAGGCCACTGCCACTCCTCCCTAAGTTAATCCTTAAACAGATAACAGAGAGTTCTTGTGTCTCCTTACTTCAGTCTCTTCAAGCCTTACAGATTCTTCAGAGTGAGATCCAGGCTATAATACAACAGGCTCCAGAAAAAGCCTTTGCGATGTTCCAGCCCCACAATTTCAAGCCAGGAGACCTGGTCCTGATATGCTTGGTTTGCTTGCCCTGAGGGCTTGACTAAATACATTCCTAAATCAGTCTTGGCTACCCAATCTGCCACTTTATTTTGTGTCACCTTGTATGTTTTTCCACAAGTCTTGTATTATAATGCAAAAGAGGGCCGCAAACATCTGGGATTAACCACTGAACACTATAGGAGTAAGTGGGCTGCCCCCATTTTAGTGCCCATTCTGGTGGGATTAGGAATAGCCGAGTCAGCGGCTATTGGAACTTCCTCCCTGATCCTTCAGGACACAAATTTTAAAGCCCTAAGCCACCAAGTAGCCAGAGATTTGGGTCCCCTGGAAGACTTGATCTCCAGATTAGAAAACCAGGTTGATTCCCTAGCTGAGATGGTCCTGCAAAATCGAAGGGGACTTGACCTCCTATTCATAAAACAAGGAGGGTTATGTGTAGCCCTAGGAAAAACCTGTTGCGTCTATGCTAATCAGTCTAGTGTCATTAGAGATACCCTAACTATGGTCAGGAAAAGTTTAAAGACTAAATATGCTCAACAAAAGGATCAAAATTGGTTTCAAAATCGATATGACTGGTCCCCATGGTTAACTACCCTAGTTTCTGCTGTAGCAGGCCCCCTAGTTACCTTACTTCTGCTTTTGCTCCTGGGACCTTGTATTATCAATGCTCTGACTAAATATGTTAGACAGAGGGTTGATGCAGTTAAACTGATGGTGTTGAGACAAAATTATGAGATTTTAAAAGACGTTTAAAAAAATCTGAAGAGTAAATACAGGAATCAAAGATTTGATTAAGTTACAAGAACCAGTGGGGAATGAAGGACCCTAGTTAGCAAGACAGACTCCATATTGCTGCTTGACTCATCTGCCTGTCCTTTAGATGAACTCAGAAGGAGGAAGCTTAGAAACCTCTTCCCCTTAGAAAGTCCCTTTAGAAATAACAATCAACTATTGTTTTACAAATGTTCTAACAGAAGGACATTCCACTCCTGTACCTTTCACTTGCTTTGCTAGTTCTACCCCATAGGGAGGCCTAAAAACTGCTGGCCTCCAAGGTGTATAAAGCATGTTTGTCTCCCCCCAGTCGGGGCTCGAGTCTGATGCTCGGCTCAGGTCCCAGCTGGTGATAAACTCTTGTGTGGATTTAATATCAGTCTCTGGTTGGTTCTTTCTCGCTGGGTCTAACAACTACTAAGTAACAAAATTAGTGATTACCAGGTAACACAGTGGAAAATAACATTTGAAACAAGAAAAATGTAATATAAAACTCATAATTGGGCCTTTCTTACAAATAGTTTGTAGAATCATATATATACTTATATGTATATATTACATGTACATGAAAACATGTATCATTTCTGGTGCACTAGAAACCACAGTATGTAAGGTTGACTCCCAAGATATCAGGTAGTGCATATTTTTTCTTTTCCACTTTCTTCTGCCCATTGAAGATAAATGCTCTGAAAGACAGAAGAAAGGACAAAAAGTCACTAGTGTGGCCAAGCAACTTTGATGATGTCAGATGCGAAGACCACATGAGTATCCTTAGTATGAAATAGACGTCAAGCATGTTATATATCTTTAACCAACATTTTGAATCTACAGATGCTAAAAGATTAAACCCAATTAGAGCCAGGAAGTAAAAATATAAAACTGCAAGAATTTAAAAAAGTCTTGACAAATTGCAGTGTCATTGATACCTTTACCATATCTGTGACATAACTTACAATACTGAAAAGTATTCTTCAGCTTCCTTGTACTATATAAAACTCCACGACTGTCCCTATATAATACAGATGTATACTTTTCTAATACCCCTCCCCACTCTCACACCTTGAAATATTTGACACTCACTGTGACATCTCAGAATCCTCGCTATCCAGACTTCTCTTTGGAGTCTTTGTGTTCACTCTCACTTTCAAGATCCCTGCATTTTAAAAATAAAAACAATCATTTTGAAGTATATTTTCTCCAAATCTCTGTACCATTTTATCAGTATTGAAACTGTCTCTCTTTCTTCTCTCTCTCTCTCTCTCACACACACACACACACACACACACACACAACCTGCAAGCTGAGTTAGGCCACTACTTGGGAATTTGCTACACAGGAGGCACCCTCCTGCCATGGGACTCAGCTGTGGACAAGGACCAGTGATGTTCGCTCCTGCAAACACCCACATCTTTTTCTTCTTCCTGTCTTTTCATTAGTCCATGCCTGTAGTACATGATGATTACATTCATCATGGGGAGCCGGTACATGTACATCACACATCTTCATTCTTTTTACATCCCCTTCCTTGTCCTCCCCCTCCTCTCTTGGCCTCCTTCCCTTTTGAAGAAATACTTTCTAATTCCTATGGTCTAGCTTGTATTTGTTCATTTAATTTATTTACACTTTAGGCCTTTCATGTAAGAGAAACCATGTGATATTTAAGCTTGTGCTGTCTGATCTATTTCACTTAACATTATGGTCTCAAGTTGCATTCATTTCCCTATAGAAGACTCAAATGTATCTTTAATTATGGCAAAGTAGTACTCTACTGAATATAAATACGATATTTTTGTTATCCATTCATCTGTTGATGGACATGTAGGCCACTTCCAATATTTAGCTATTTGGAGTTGTGCTGCTATAAACATGGTAGAGCATGTATCACTGTAATATGATGTCTTTAACTCTTTCAGGAAGACACCTAGAATGGGAATAGCTGAGACCCAGACCATTTTCATATTCAAAATGTTATCAGTGAAATGTCTTTCAGCTTTCTTTACACTTCATCTTTAGCCCTGTTTCTATAATATTTACTAGCTTATTTTCTCCCACAGTTATTTGATATCAGTTTCTCCATGATACAGTTATCCAACGTAAGAAAATTAATATATTTAAGTATTAAAAAAGTATATTCAAAATTATTAACTATTTTATATGCTGCATATTATTTCCACAGTTTTACAGTAACTTCTCAACATATATCCACGGAGTATAGTCCATGTACATTGTTCCATTATTATTTAGTGAAATTCAAATTCATTTTAAGTACAACAAAGGGCATACATATAAAATTCAAAGGCAGAAATTATTTTATAAAATTTCCCTGAGGAGAATCATACCAATTTTAATATTTTTAGAAAATTAATTTTTTTATTTTTCATTTTTGGCAGGGATTGTTTTTTGTTTTTTTGTTTTTTTGAGTGAGTCTTGCTATGTAAGTTCAGACCGGCCTTGAAGTGACTCGCCCAGGCTGGCCTCAAACTCACTGTAATGCTCCTTCCTCAGCTTCCAGAGTGCTGGGATTACAGGCTTCTGCTACCATGCCCGGGGCCATTTATATTTTAGGTTGCGATAGTGTCCTCCTAAGCTGCAAAGTTACCCATCCTGGCTCAAACTTTAGAACCCCCTGCCTCATCCTCCCAGAGCACTGGGATTATGCATAGGTGCCACCACACCCACCTCCAAGTTTTTATCAGGTCAAAATGGTTGGTTTCTGTTGATTATTCATTATATTAATCGTTAACAGGTTAAGTGCTAAATTGCCATATAAAGACAAAAGTTACATCTGAATCATTACTATTTATACCTACCATGATGCTATTAATAAGTTATTATACCAAAAGTTATAAAAGTAATAAAATTTAAATACGAAATCAACATACTCTTCACTTATATAGTCTTCTGTTCTCCATTTTTTCCTTTGGAAATAGACTTTTACCACTATAGCAATCAGGACAGAGAAAATAATGAGAAAAGGAATGATCAAGAGAAATGGCCAGTTTTTAGGCTTGGTCTGGTAAACACCTTTGATGTAATGCCTTTCTAGGAGAGAAGAACACAGAGATTCATTAGAAGGCAATCACCAGGCATTCAGGAAAGATATTTCTGTATTTTATTATGACTCCAACAATAAAAATTTGAACTATTTAATGCTTTTATCATTAACAAAGTTTTAGAAGAAGGAGATAAGTGGACAGCATAAATACACAAACTCTTCTAGTGCCTACATAGTATTCCTAACCCTTGCTATTTGATAGAGAAACTTCTCCCTTGGTGGTCTCTGATACTGTGGATGAAAAGAATTGAAGTGCGATTCCCATAAGAATTCTTTAGTCAAAAACACTTCAGTCAAAACACTGTATATATAACATTCTGATAAAGTAAATTGTGTTTTATTGCATTGATATTTATTTTCATGTCTCATTTAAGAAATTGTTGTTTATCCTAAGGTCACAAATGCCATGCTTCCTGCTAGAAGATTTATAATTTTACCCTCCACATTTAATTTATAATTCATTTCCTGCCGACTGTTAACTATGTGAGGATGTTGAAGTTCATTTGGGCTTATGTAAATATCCATTTGTTTCAGTGCAATACCATAATCACATGTCATGCCGTGTTCAGGTTCCAGTTCTAGTAATATCATCTCCTTTTACTGTCACTACAGCTCTTAACAGTTTCCCGTTGTTGTTAATATCTAGGTATCTCACCATTCTCTGATTGTTTTTCATTTTTGCCATTATGTGTTACCTGATGCCTCATATCGACTTCCTTCTGTTTAAGGACCAAACTGACTTCCATTTTCCTGCCTGGGTTCTCACTGATATTGTGTGTGTATTATATGTGGTTTATCATTTGATGCTTACATATAATCTAAACATAAATTGGTATATCAAAGTTTTTAAAGCTTAATAAATTAAAATGATGTTTTAATAATGTTTTCAATTTGTTATTAATACTTACCAGGATCAAATTGTGCACCATACACAGGAATTTTGATGCTGCAGTCTGGCGGTAAATATCCAGGGTAGCACTGACATGCCTTTTTGTTATTGCATACCTGGAAGCAGGACAATATCACCTTCTAAGACAAGCAGCTGAATTTGTATGTGTTGAAGAAGAATCATAAAATAATTCTTAGGTAAAATAAAGTCATTTTTTGTGGCTTATGAGTATGTAAGTATGTATATGAGTGTGCACACACAAGCTTGTGTGTGTGTGTGCCTTTGTGCAGGGCATTTGCTTTCCTTGGATTAGTCTAAATGATCTGTGACCTCATAGCATTGGTACTTACACCATTATTGTTGCAAGTTGCTGGTGTGCAGTCATAACCCAAGAAGGAATCAGCTACACATTCCTTATTCCTACAAACCTAAAAGAAGCGATAAGTCAAAATAAGCTCAGTGATATGCTAACCAGTTTGAAATTTAATTTAAAACATCCCATACTATTCCAAAATAAAAGCCACAATGAAATATTGCCTCATTCCAGTTAAAACTGCTATCATCAGAAAGACAAAAAAGTAACAAAAACTGATGAAGACATGGAGCAAGGGTGAACTCTTATATACAGCTTGTACATCAGCTATGGAAAGTAGTATTGAAGTTTCTCCCAAAAAATAAATTAGAACTACAATAAGATCCAATAACTCCCTTGTTGGATCTATATCTATATCTATACCTATATCTATATCTAATTTCAACCTTGGTTCACAAATTTAATTATTTCCATGATTCTGGTCACAAACCAAACTGGACAAGAACCAAATCAAATTTCCCCATAACATTGAACCTAACCATTGAATTTTGATTATATGTATTTGCAAAAGAAATAAAATCAATATAGCAAGCAAATATATACTCTCTCATTGAGGCACTATCCATAATATCCAGATTGAATTAACTTAAATGGCTAACAGTGGCTTCATGGATAAAGGAAATGGGGTACATGTAGAAGATGAAGTACTCTCCAACCATAAGAAGAATGAAATCTTGTCATTTGTGACAACTTGGATGAGCCTGGAGGATGCTATGTTAAGGACAAATATCATATGATCCAATCATATGTAAAGGTGAAAATGTTTAGTGGAGGTTGAGTTGAGAAACTGGGTACTAATGGCTGGAGATGATATGGGGAAGGGTGAGATAGAGGAGGATTGGTCAACAGGTACAATGTTACCATCAGTAAGGAGGAATAAATTCTGGTGCTCTATTACACAGTAGGGTGACTATGGGTATGCACTGTATTTTTCAAATGGGATTTGGAATATTCTCACAGGAATAAATGACAAGTATTTACTGTGATGGATATGCTAATTCCTCTGATTTTATCATTACACAAATGTATACATATTTCAAAACATTACATTGCACCAGTGAACATATATAATTATTATATACTGAAATAATAAAAACTTTCCCAATACTAATTGACTCTATAAATACTATGAGGCATAGATTTTTTTTTAAGATGCCCAATTTTCAACAAAAAATTTTAAGGAATTAAAAGAAATAGAAAAAAATATGGAAAATCTGAAGTGATGGAAATTTGTTTTAAAATAGCCATACTTAATGTCTTCAAAGACCTCAAGAGAAAACATGGACAAAAAATGGAAGGAAACTAGAACAATAATATAGGGGAAAATGAGAGTATCAAAAAGGAGAAATTATAAACAAGAACCAAACAAATTCTGGCTCAATAAATATAATAACTGGATTGAAAAATTCACCATATTAATTCAATTAGCAAGTTTGGGCAAATAGAAGAATCGATGTACTTGAAAATAAGACATTAGAAGTTATTGAGTGTGAAGAGGTGAGAGGAAAAAAAACAATGAAAAATGAACAGAGCCTAAGGGATTTATGGAACACCATTTAAAGATGAATGTACACATTTGTGGAGTCTTTTCAGGATATAATAAAGGAAAGAAATATAGGAAAGAAAGATTACTTGAAGCAATAATTGCCATAAACATCTCTTATTTGAAAAAAGTCATGGATCTATAAATCCTAAAAATTCAAAGAATACCAAATAAGATAAACATACAGAAGCACTGAGACTTGATATAACCTATCTGTCAGAAGACAAAGACAAAGTATCTTAAAAGTAATAAGTGAAAACAAATCATCACATGCAAGAAATGTCAGTAAGACTATCAGCAGATTTCTGAGCAGAACTATCTGAGGGCAGAAGAGAATGGAGAAATGGGGGAGGGCAGGGGCAGGGAGAAGGCTGACAACTAAGAATTCTCTCAGAAAACTGTCCTTTGAGAAATGAGGGCAAAATTAAGACACTGCCCAGATTGGAAAAAATAACTGAGGGAATTAACTACCATAAGACCTGGCTTAGAAGAATTACTAAAGGAAGTTCGATAGAATAAAAGAAGTGAATGTAGTCATTAACAAGAGGTCCTATGGAGATATAAAGACCACTGGTAAAGGTAAATAAATAAGCAAGTATAAAAACTAGTACTGTTCTAATTTTTATTTACAACTCCACTTTTATTTTCTATGAGATGTGAAAAAAATGCATGAAAATGATTGTAAATCTATATTAATAGGTACACAATATAAAAGGATGCAACTTTTGGCATTAAAAAGCTGTAAAGAAGGGCAAGGGATTTAGCTCAGTGGTTCCACTGCCTGCCTCACAAGTGCAAGGTCCTCAGTTTGATCTCCAGTACCAAAAAAAAAAAAAAGGCTTTAAAGAAGTCAAGATTTTGTATGTAATGCTATTTTGGCATAAATTTGAAATAGATTGCTATAATTTGGGATGTTTTATTTTATACCCATAAACCCACAAAGAAAATACCTATAGAAAACATACAAGGAAAATGAGAAGGGAATCAAAATGTGTTATTGGAAAACATCAATTAAAAGAAAAGCAGTAATGGAGGAAATGAGAGACCAAAAATGTAATAAAACAGAAAACAAACAAATGGCAAAACCAAGTTTTTTTCTATCAGTGATTAATGCTAATGGATTAAATTTTCCCATCTAATGCAAGGATTGACAGAATCCATTAAAAAAAATCAAGGCTCGATCCCAGGCTCCTAGGGCAGAGAAGCTCAGCCGGTCCCAGCACCTGGAAGGAAGCTCCCCTGCCGCCATCCCAGGCTCCTAGGGCAGAGAAGCTCAGCCGGTCCCAGCACCTGGAAGCTCCCCACCTCCATCCCAGGGTCCTAGGGCAGAGAAGCTCAGCCAGTCCCAGCACCCAGAAGGAAGCTCCCTGACTCCATCCCAGGCTCCTAGGGCAGAGAACCTCAGCCGGTCCCAGCTCTTGGAAGGAAGCTCCCCACCTCCATCCCAGGCTCCTAGGGCACAGAAGCTCAGCCAGTCCCAGCACCTGGAAGAAAGCTCCCCGGCTCCATCCCAGGCTCCCTTGGCAGAGAAGCTCAGCCAGTCCCAGCACCTGGAAGGAAGCTCCCCGCCTCCATCCCAGGCTCCTAGGGCAGAGAAG